GCATCTTTTCATGTGTCTGTTGGCCATCTATTTGTCTTCTTTGGAAAAACATCTATTCAGGTCCTCCGCCTGTTTTGTAATTGCATTATTTGTTTTTTTTTTATGTTAGTTGTATGAGTTCTTTTAACATTTTGTATATTAGCCCATTATCAGATACATCATTTGCATATATCTTCTTGCATTCAGTAAGTTGCCTTTGCATTTTGTTGAAGGTTTTACTTCACTGTGCATTCTCTTTGATTTTTCAAAATTTATTTCCTGTCTTTTCTTTCTTTTAAGGCATTACCTTGTGTGATTTGCTCCTGTCTTCCTTTTAGCTTAGACTTCGTTTCAGAACTTTTTCTTTCATCTTTAAGTTTTTCCTGAGGATTGTCACCTCATCTGAGTTTTTCTAATTCTGATTTGTGTTGTTCTTTTATGTTTTCTCTTATTTTTAGCTTGTTTGAAATTGGTTAAATTTTGATCTGGCATTTTTCAGGGGGCATGTCTTTCTGTCACAGATTCTTTGTGGGGATGTTATTCTATTACTTTTTTATTATAAATAATTATAAAATTATTTAATATAATGTTTTAATATAACTGTGTGAGATTTGACCTAAACATTTTTTGTTGTTCATTTTACTAGAAATTAGTTTTTTTTCTCCCCCTGAGCATTTATGTTGATACAGGCTTCAGGATGGCTTCTAAATTTTCCTAAATACCTCTCTTTTTGCATATCATTAAAAAAATATGGCTGCTTGTATTCTGAAATATCTTGGCTTGATTTCCCTTCCCACTTTGGTCTAGACTTTCTTTACCTGTTTCTTGGATCCCTGTTGTGTTGAATTTTAGATCCACCTCCTGATGTTTCTCTTCTGTGTGTGGGGTCCTGTCCTGAAATGGAGCCTGTTGGAACCCTTCTGAGAGTTCAGGGGGGTCTGGGTTTGCTCCTGATCTCTCCTTCCTTTCTTGTCGTAGCTTCCCTGCAAGTACCCGGTAATCAGGAGGGCGAAACTCTCCCAGTTTCAGCTGCTGTTCTCAAGTGGGCCCGGTGTGCTTTCCTGTGAGTTCCACTAGGCTCCTCAGGCCCTGAAGACAGCATCCCATAGCTTCCTTCTTCTCCCGCCTGCCCAGACTCTGATACTGTGAAGATCTGTGGCTATTGCTGGGTTTTCCCCACCCTGGTTATATTTTGAAATGTGTGGAGATACCGCATCATCTAGTTTTGTTATATTTTTTGGATTTCTTTTCTAGATGTTCCATCTGGTTCATGTGAGGATTTGGAGAGAGTGGAAACTAAGCCGCCACTGCCGCCATCTCTTCCTAATGTGTCCCAGTCTTCCTATTTTAGCACATTAAAAAATATACAAGCAGGTAGATGGCTGTGATAGCTTCCCATCCTAGAGCCAGAAAGGAAGACATACTAACTAATTCTGCCACTTTGAGTGAGAAATCAAGAAAAGCTCCCACAATTCTGGTTGAAGTCCCCTTCAGCAAGGAGTCTGTTGTTTTATTTTTAATTTCATTTGTCTTTAGTAATTTTATTCTTATGGAGTTTAATGTTACCATTCAGAAACATGACTACCGCTTCTGAATCCGGGTTGTGTCCTCTTGCTGTTTCTTAGCATCCTCAGTTATGTCATGTTCTTTGAAGTCAGGGTTTGAAATATTTAAAAAATATGTCTTCTTACCAAGTAGTATCTGTTAGGATTCCATCTGGCTTCTCTTCCTTGTGATGTTCGTTCTGTTTACAATGACAGAACTGTAGCCTGGGTGTTGGTTCATCAAGCGTCTTATGTCCTTTGTGCTGGTACTGGGAACAAAATGTAAGGCATGGTTCTTTCCTGAGCAAGTATGGTTCATCTTATTCTGTCCTTTGCACTGACATAGGAAGTAAGGGAAAACTAGTTCTTGTGGACTCTTTTTCACCTTCACTGTGACCCCAACTTAAGTGGCTTCAGCATATTTTGTAGGTGGTACTGATGAAAATGATCTGCCAATGAGACAACTAGATCTTTGAATTATAGTCCTTATTTGGTTTGGGGTTTAGTTTTATGTTGTTACTACCAACTTCCAAGATTCTAAATAAAAGTCTGAATTAATCAATGCAGACCCTCATCAACTTGAGGCATGTGTTTGCTCTAAGTGCTCTGAATGGCTGTCTCTGCTTGTTAAGAGTCACCGAGACATGGCGGTGTCTCTCCCACATTATGTTTAGGATAGCGCTGAAAATCAATTTTAGCTTCTTTCTAAATGTACTTTCCTCCATTTAAAATTGAGTGAAAAGGCAAGTGGTAACTGTAAAACTTTATATTTTAGCCAGTCTTATTTTTGAAAATAATTCCTTGGATGCTTCCTAGCTTGAAATTTATTTTCTTCCAACTTACCAAACATATGACTTCTTTCAAAATGGGAAACAAAAATGGCCAGTTATGTGTTTAGACAAACCATGTAGAGATTCAAGACTATCGCTTTCCTCTGAGTACATGGTGAAGAAGGTATTCGGGAATCCCTTTGCCTGTTTCCAAACACCAGCTCCACCATTCTGTAGTACGTTGGTATGTGACAGTGGGAGTTTTCAAAGCCTCTTTGTGCCTCCATTTGCTCCTATGTAAAATGTCATAGTAATGGCCCCTGTATCCTAGGATTAATGTGATGATTAAATTAGGTAATGCATATACATGGTGGATCATCAACTATTGGTTCAATGATTGAAAATGGAATGCTTACGATTTATTAGGCACTGTGCTAGATTACTGAGATATAACAATGAGTGAAAATTCCTTCTTTATAGTATAGTATTGAGTTTGAGTCATATATTACTATGGTATAAAGTGATTAGTAATCACATGAGGAAATATATAATATTGCAACCATAGTAAATGCAATGAGAGAGGTGTGAGGCACTCCAGGCACGTCTAATAAGGACAATAGCTATCTGCGAGATTAGGGAAATTTCCTTTTAAGACAAAGCAAAGATTAAGGAAGATTGGGTTAAGATCTAAAGCAAAATAGGTGGGACTGAATTAGGTGAAGGTGAGTGTTCACCATGTGTGTAGATGAGCACATGTAGGGCAAAAATATCCCGTTCAGAGTGAAGGGTGTGGAGAATGGTTCTGTGGCAAGAGGGACCTTGGTGGATATGAGGAACTGAATTAAAGCCAGTGTGTGAAGAGAAGAGCACGAGGTCCATATTCCTTGTGATGAAGCTAGACCAGGAGGGAGGGAAGGAGAGGTCATAATGTGGGGCCTTTATAAGCCATATATAAGAATGTGGTCCAGCAAAATGATGTTAGCTATTTGAATTCTGGAGAGATATTTGCAATGATCTATTATTATTATTGTTATTGTATCCTTTTTATTCCCTAGCTATGTTTCTCATATAAAATATGTTTATGTATTTTAGTATTTACTTATTAGTTCTTTTCCCTAATCTCTGTTATTGTTATTCTTTGAACTCTAATTCTTCAATCTTTCATTTAGGAATAAAGTTGAGAGGATAGCTTTGTTTTCTTTCAATCAGTTTTAATGTTTGAAGTGGCATTTGCTTTTGTATAACTTTAGGCAAGATAAATGAAGAACAATTGCCAAAATGTTACCTACTGTGACACATATAAATATTTTATGCCTTATTGCTTTTGAAAAATGTTCAAATGCTATCATTTGTTATTTGTCTAACTTAAACAAACTAAAGCCAAAATCATTAGAAATTTTGGGGTCCTTTGTTGGCAGGAAGCTCAGACTGTTTTCAGATGTTTCGATCTTACTCAGAATCAAATTTTAGAAATGCGAGGTCTGAGGCTGACTCTGTGGGAAAAGGGAGGAGTTTGAAAGGTGGCTATCATGTGTCCGTGTGTGTGTGTGTGTGTATGTGTCCATATGTGGATATTTTACAGTTGCTGATCTATAGCTGGTCAATGAAGAGCTAACACGTGAGCTGTGAAACTCTCCAGAGATCAAAGGCTATGACTCTTCTTCCTACTCTGAAATAAGGGAGTAATGTATAGACCACGCAAATAAAGTGTGGGGAGCTTTACATCATACCATGGTGCCCCATCAGGGTGATCCCCGTTAGGCGCTCTTCGCTCTTCCGTGCTGCACGGCTTCTCCTCTTTGTTCTCTAGCATACCTGCTGGGTATAAAGGTGCTTACCTGTATTGTTGTGTAATTTGCCTATTACTATTACACTAGCAAACTTGGCTAGTTTTACTTCGTCTTTGCTTATTATTCTGTTATAAAATGAGGTTTAGCTCATCTGGGATGAGAGCTGTTAATCATATTAGCAATTATTTTAACCATAACAATAACATATATGTAATAACTACTCATTTCATGTACTACACATCTTCACAGGAATATTTATGAAAATAGTTATAAAACTAAAAACTGTTTTGAATGATATGAGTTGTCTCTAGAAGTGAGGTGACAAGTAGAATTTTGGCTGCTGGGTTTGGGCCCATTGCTCTTGATCTTTATCACATCATTATCATTGACAATCGCTTATTCCATAAGAAGCACAAGCATAATGCAAGCTGAGAAATCTGGTGAGGTTTTCTCACCTTTAGTTGATGTAGAAAATTTGATTTTCTCTTCTTAGCACTGATTTTCTCTTAGTTTAGCCGATATGCTTCTCCATAACATATTTAGTTCAAATCCTTTTGGCTGAATTAATAAAGTAAGCAAAAATAAGTTTCCTGATTTAAGTCTGTATTTATGTAACAGTTAATTTGTTTTCTATTATATAGCCTATTAGTTAATAATAATTAGCTAAATGAGTGGACATACCCAATATTTGAACAAAAAGTAAAGTAGTTGATCAAAGTGTTCATGGTTTAGAATTCTGTTTCATGACTGGGTTCATGAGCAATAGATGAATTGTCTTATAGCAGCTGCTCTAGTCAATCAGTTCCTTACACAGATGATGCCTTACGTGCAGCGCTGATCACTAATGCCTGAGATGTAACATGAAGTTTGTTAAATGAACAGGTAATTATTCTGAAGAACATTAATGTGTGTTCCAGGACCTGATCTTCAGGTTTGCATATCCAAGAAACCTACATGCTGCACCAGGAAGATGGAGGAGAGATATCAAATCGCAGCTCGCCAAGATATGGAGCAGTTGCTCCAAACATCCAGCTCAACACTAAAGTTGCTAATATCTCGAAATGCAGCTGCTTTTCAAGGTAAATGCATTTTGATTACTTTAACGGAGGACCAGTCTTGTTGTATAATTTATATAGTATCATTGCCCTGGTAAACTTGGCTAGGTTTACTTCTTTGTCTTTGCACATTACTATGGTATAAAGTGAGGTCTTAGCCTTTTCTAACTGTTTCTGAGGTGTCCTGGGCCATATGCGCTGAGTTGGACTGGGGAAACTGTTGTATTAGTGAAATGTCCTTGCAAATGTATTCCCTTGTAGCGTTCCTCCTGGTCCTCAGTATCCTGATCCGTGGTTTTACTTCAATATAAGTGGACATAATTACTAGATTTCAGTAAAATAGTCTATAATGTAAAATCCCATTGCATTTGACTAGGCAATTATCAATTTATTTTTACAAATATGATTTGAATAAATATTCACCTAATTTTCTTTCTGCAGTCTCATGTGATTTTCGTAAGAGCACCAGTGTGATGTATCAGAGTGCAGACAAATCTGATAAATAGTAAAATAGGAAATATTAATTGGATGTTTAAGGGTGAACTAAGACCAGAACTCAACATTAATTCAAAGAGTATGTTCAGAAATAAAATTAATGAGTTATGAAATTACAAGACACAGTGGAAAATAGATGATCTTTTCCTTATTTTAGTTCTTTCTTCTATAAAATTCCTTATTACTGCAGTGAAATAGCTTAATTTATTTTTCTCTTTAAAAAGCATTAGCTATTCTGTGTATGTTATAATGAAAATATCTAGGTTACACTGCTTTTCAAATAAATGTATTGCTTTTGTTCAAAGCAAAACAAAACTTCTCTTAGTATTTCTTTTTCTTAAGTACATTAATGTCTAAGTTGTGCTTTGCTTACATACATAACTAAATCACAAGGCTGATTAATTTTTAAAACTATACTTTTAAATAAACTAAAGACAATAAATCAGCATAAAAAAGTTGAGTTTAAATGCAGTTTATGATGAATTGATGATTTTTTTTGTAGAAACTGAAATTCCAGATTTAAGATGTTATATATTTAGCAATTTTTTTTAGATGTCTCAGAAAACACTTCTCATCTCCACAATGGGATTTATTCACGTGAAATTATAGAAAACATTTTGATATGCCTTTGAAGCAAAGATTTGTGATTTGAACTGGCTGGACCAGAAGATTTTAAGTGCTTATAGGAAGCAATGTAGTGATTTTGTCTCATGAAAATAATAGCAAGTGCAATATGGAAAATATGTTTTAGAGATAAAGGAACAGTGAAAAAACCAGTTTTATTAGAACAGGTATGGGAATTGTAGATCGTATGATCGAAAAGGTGACCTGGACTCATGTAGAAGAAGACTTAGAACATCAACTTGAGTTTGAGTCAATAAAGATGTTTTAACAGGGACTTCCGTTATGATTTCTTACCTTTTAATAGCAAAACTAAATCCCTCCAAGTAAGACTATATGGCCAAAGAAGATCTTGACAAATCAAACCCACTCTTTTGGATGGCAGCATTATCTGTATTGGTGAAGGAGAGTCACAGCAGTTACTACCACATAGGCACTCAGTGTTAGTTAAGCATTTTATTCTATCTTGAAACATACCTGTAAGAAACTTTTCACATATGCTTGGATAAACTGATCAATATAGAGCGATCAAGTTCAAAAGACTGGGAAAAATACCACACCTGAATTATTTAGACTTTCAAGATGGTGAGTTCAAGTTGCTGAAAAATTCTGATGATACTGCAAAAAGTTTGGTGACAACTATCTAGGTAGCAGAAATACACGGATTGTCTACGTCTTCCAGGGTGTCAGGTAATTTTATGCATATTAAAAACTTTTTTCTGTTTAATAAATTATACATGTTGTATTCAATAGGTTGACTTTTCTTGTTTATTCACATATGAATTGTTGTCGTAAATTGTGTTTTCCTTTTGAGGGACGTCACATTTTATTTAAGAATTGTGAGACAAGACAAATTTAGAAGAAATTTTCCTAGAGGCTAACTTTACTAGAACAAAATTCTCTTATAAGAATACGTGTTTTTAGTTTAATGAGTAGAATAAATTGCTTTGGGCTTATTTCCATAAAAACAAATATAAATATATATAGACTAAAAGAAATTTGAGAGATCCCATTTACTGCATCAAATTTAACAGGATACTTTATCAGTAAGTAAAATGTCTTCCACCTACTTTCTGTATAATCAAAATATCTGAAAACAATTTGAAGTCTTAAGTTTTTTAAGAAGAAAGAAATCAACCCATTTTATTGGGGAACAGTTTGTCTAAGGGAAATTTAACGGGGAAATCAATTCACTTCTCAAATGATGTAAATAGATGTGCTGCATTTTGATCTTACAATTTTTAAATAATGCACTTATGTCTTCTATTTCAACAGTATTAACCAGTTGTTTTTAGTGGTATTCTGTGTTGTAAAAGACTTTGGAGTGTGATGTAGTATGGTTTCCGCTCATGAGCCTCACGGAATCCCATAGAAGCATGTTTTTGAAACAACCCTTTGACTACGGCCAATGAGGATGATCACTTGAATCTATGGGTTTAGTGGAGCTCACAGTGCTGTGAGATGAAGGGCTTTTCCAGGGGAGAGAGGAAACTGTGCTGGCAACTGGTGCTAGGAGACAAGATTTTCCTGTGTACAAGCCACAGTTCAGTCTGGAATTCACAGTGCGGTTGGAATCTGCCTACTGGGACAACTCTTCTACTTTTTTACATTTACATAACTTATTAGGGTTTATTTGTCAGATTTTCTTAAAATAATTAAAAAAACAAAAATCTGGTTTTGGAAGGGCCCATAATTATGACCTGGGGCGTCACTAAATCCTAAGGGTTAGTCACTCTCACAGCACGCAGTGTTTCATAAGAATAAAAGAACAAATTGATGTCCCTGTGTCTGGTGTTGTTCATAAATAAGTGGTGCTGTTCACAAAGAGGACTGCTGGCTTTGTCACAGTGCAGACAGTAACTATTCCTCATTTTCAGGGGCTTAATAATGTTCATGAATAAAGCAGCCTGAGGTAATGCAAAAGACTCTAGTTTCCCTTCAGCTGTTTTAGTATGAGTGTGGGATTGCCTGCTTTAAAAATATTTTGCAACTGTTCTCTATAAATGTTTCATTTATTAATACACTGAAGTATGCTGTGCCTTCTGAATAAATAGGGAAAGTTGACAGAATAGTCATCTACTGTAAAAAAGCAACTCTTACCCAGATTCCAAATGTGTCCATATTTAAATGTGTTCAAATAATAGAATTTGGTTTATAAAATTGAAAACTATACAAAATTTTGAGCATCACTTTCAAAAATAAAACAAAACAATACTTGGGAGAACATTTTTAGAAGCCTGTGTTTTGTTTGAGTACCGGGAAGATGAGGTTAAGAAGTTATATCTTCCCTTAGGGATCACCTTTTCCCACTTCTCTTATCTTCAAGTATCTCATGTATTTCTAAAGTATATTTTAGATATTGAGTCTTTATTCTGGGGGCTTCCAGTTTTATAATATGATATTAACAAGTGTACATTATTATAAAATATTTATAAGTGATATTTAGAACAGGAAATATTTGACATTTTTATTTATGATTTCATTCTCTTGGCTAATTATATTTTCATCTCTTGACTTTAAGTACTTGAAAGATTGGCAAGCTTGTCCTGTGGTGTTGAAATGTTAGATTTAAGAATTTAATAAAATTGCATTCCTCTTTTTAAAGAAATGTAGGAATATGTTCAAAATTAAATTTCATATTTTTACAGCAAGTGAAATCACCTGATTCACTTAGTTTACTTCAGCTGTATTTTACAAAGGTGTGTTAATACTTAAAATTATTCCTTGGAAAAGCATTATGTGGAAGGATAAACGAATACTGCTATTTCTAATACTGACACTTACCTGATCAAAGGTTCAAGGCTAAGAAAATAGGAAGCCTTAGGCTGGCAGTGCTGAGGAGACTTGTTTATCTTTGTCTCTAGCATCTAGAGCAGATACTCAGTAAATGTAATTAAATGAACTGCATGAATACATGAATGGATGAATGGTACTTAGTAGGAAGATGGTTTTGAAATAAAATAACAGATTTCTTCCTGCCTGCCTGCCTTCATTCCTTCATTTCTTTCTTCTCTTTCTTACTCTGTTGATGCATTTAATGTATCTGTGGATTACCTACTAAGTTCCAGCAATGTCAGGTGGACTGTACAGTATCCAAATTTTAAAGTCATTTTATTTTTTTTGGCCCTTTCAGACATCTAATAGGTTCACATCTGATTAGTGATTTTAAAAACTACAAAAGGGGCACATTATAGTGTTTCTGTCAGTGGCACCCTGAATGTGATTGCACTTTCCCCTCAGTTTTAGGCATTTCGTGGTTTAGTGTGTTATCTCATTCAGCAGCTTTCAGTGCAACTGGTCTTTATCCAACTGGCCTTTATCTCTGAAATGCTAAAAATTGTTTCTTTTGAATCTGCATCAGCAGGCTGCTATTAATTATAAAAATGGATAATTTTCCTATATACTAGATAAAAGTTGCAAGAGCTGAAATTACTTTTCAGCTGGAAATAAAGCCTGCTTTGCATTAAGCATTGTCAATAGTGGAAAAAAATATTAAATATAGACCCAAGATCAGGTTCACTCTGAAAAATTTCTCTTTTAAATTTAAAGAAATTAAACATTTAGATGTTTTAATTCTGACTGGTGATAAATTATGATAATATCACCTATTGCCAAGGTAATCACACCTAGAAAGTCCAGTAACCTGGTCTGCTCTTGTGGGTTAAACAATTCTTTCTTGATCTTATATTAAACACTTTTTCAGTTAAATCTTTTCAATGTGAGAATGGTGTATTTATTGCCTGGAAGATGAGTTGACATTTCATCAGGTTCTCAATTATTTTTGTTATCTTTAGATTACTTTGGTCTTACTTTTGCATAAGGGACCCCAGAGATGGTTTTACTATGTGTTGAGTACAAGGACAGGACATTTGGAAGGTTACAATTAGGTCTGTTTTTGATATTTGTCC